CGCCGTGGGCTCTCCCCACGCTCCAGTCCCTAGGTCTTTCACCATTCCCGGGCCGGGCACTCCTTCCCTCATTTGAAACGCGTACGAACCTACGTGCGCCACCATATTCGGCCAGGCTTGCCGTGGTTCTCCAGGCGTGTTGCACGGGTAGTGCGCTGGATGATCAGGATACTGTACGGGTGCCTCCTCCCTGTTGGGCTCCAGAATGTCTTTCACTAGCCTGGCTTCGGGCCTCTGCAGCTTCGAGAGCTCGAGTCTCAGGCGCCCTTCTGAAAGGCCGTTCTGCCAGTAGCGCTGGTCCCGGTGTGACCTCGCCCCTGCCTGTGCCGCATCCATCGCCACCCCTGCCCCCAGCAGGGACGTTACTCGCTGGAATGCTGCTCTCACGGGCTCCCTAGGGTCCGTAGCGAAGTCCGGATTTTCCAGCAGGTACAGGTACTCCCCATGCAGCCTGTAGATCATTTGCATGACATGCACCATGTCCTCGAACAGGGCCGACCTGCTGTCTTCGAGCCTGAGCCCATCTCCTGCCCTTGATACTCCCTGGCATTCCCACCCCGCGATTAGCACATCCATCCATCCCCATGCAGCTACCTGTGCCTCCGTTATCTCCTTTACATCGTGTCCCGTCTGCCCCCAGTTATTGTCGGCCGCTCCATCAAAGATCTGCCCCGGGTAGGTACGCCGCAGAATTTCCACTTGGTGCTCCGCCATCTTCCGTACTTGTGAGTTCGGTTCTACATAGGTCCATTTTTCAATCCTCTAGCCCGCCTTCAGTGCTGCCGCCAGTCCTGTCCCCAGTCCTCCGAACAGCTCCAGCTTTCGAATGGGCTTCTGTAGGATCCGCTTGTCCAGAACTTCACCGGGGATCACCTCCTTCCTTTCTGCCCACACCTCGCCCTGCTTTCTCTGACTCAGCTCCGATTCCGCCTCGTACCAGCTCATCTCTCCCAGTTGATCCTCCAGCTCCAACATTCTGGCCTGATAGGCCCCTTGGCTCTTGATGCACAAACCGCACTGGCAGAGTACCTCTAGGTCCCCCCAGCCTCCAGAAGCGCGGCCTGTAGATCACCTTCTCCTGCCACGTGCAAATCGTTGCGCCCACTCCGTACAGCAGTCGTATTCCCATCAGGAGGTCGTAGTCCTCTGACTCCGTCACTCCATAGGTCAGATTAACTCGGCATTCATCCCGTTCTCCCGGCTTCAGGACGATCTCCACTGTATGTCGAGTGCACGGTAGCCACTTTGGCTCTCCTCCTTCGGCCGTCATCACCGAAAAGCCGCGCTCCCTCAACCGGCCTTCCTCATGGAGCTGCATCTGCTCCGCCAGGCCTTTCCCGATCAGCACGTGATGCGAGCCAGTGTCTATGATGGCCAATTCCACTGGTATCCCTGCCAGGACCACCGAACCCTTCGCACCTACCAGCACCGTGGACTGGCACAGCATCCGTTCCTTGGGGTGTCGGAAGGCGTCATCTTCGAACTCCGGATCTTCCGCGCAGCGCTGCTCTCGTACGTAACCTCCGCTAGGTATTCCTGCTCATAGCACCCCATCTTCCCGTTGGCAGTTCGCCTCACGTCTGGTCCCCAGCCTCGCCATGAGCGCAAATGACGAATGACTTTCCGTGTCTTCATCTTCATCCGCCCCCACTAACATTGCCCCCGTGCCTTTCTCCTCTCCCCCCATCTCCTCTAGCTGCTCACGTAGCTTCCGCATCTCTTCTTCGATCTCGCCCCGACTCTTGCTCTTCCCCTTTGGCGGGCGCTTGGCGTAACAATCCGCTTCCTTGTGCCCCTTTCTTCCGCACTTCTTGCACGTCGGGCTCTTAGGGCAGTCGCGGCGGAGGTGTCCCGCCTCTCCGCAGGTGTCACAACGTGGTGCTTGCGTGCAGTCCCTGTGAATGTGTCCGACCTGTCCGCAGCGATGACAACGCCTTCGATTGGTAACCGGGCTCTCAGCGCGTGCTCTCGTTTCTCCCTGAGGGCTGGCCATCCATACTCCTCGGCGCCGTTCGGTTCCGCCGCTTTCCGCCTTTTCCAGCTCGTACAACTTCAGTCCGGTCTCATAACGGCAGGCCAAATCGTACACTTGGTGCAGGGTCCCCTTCCACCCCATCTCGAACACCTTCCTGCGCAGACCCTTGACCATGTTTCTGTCCAGGCCGTCCAGGAACTTGCTGATCAGGCGACGCTCGTCGGTGCACTCCATGTCCAACGCCAGCTCTTTCAGGCGCCTGTAGTAACTCAACAGAGACTCTTCCTCCCTTCGTTCGAAGTGCGCGAACTGTTGCACCTTCTCGGGCGTCTGCACTGGGAACTGCCACTTGAGGTTCTCCAAGAATTCGTAGACGATGCCCCAAGCCTGCCCCGCTCGATCCCGATACTTCCCGATCAAATCTTCTCTGGTGATGCGGTAGTACGTTTCCGCTTCGCCCGCCAGCGTGTTGGATAAGCCTCGGAAGAATTCCTCTGCTTCTAGCCCATCTCGCTTCCACCGATACCGTACGTTATCAATCTGCATCAGGTAGTTGCGTAGATTAGCCCCCACTCCCGCTTGTCTGACGAATCTCTCGGGAACCTTAATCTCCGGCAGATTGGTGTAGCGCCACTTCTCGGCCCGCTGGCCCGATGTTCCCTCCCTCCTTGCTTCCTGTCCTTCTCCCATCTCGGAGTCAGACCAGCGCTGCCGTTCAATGGAGCCGGTGCGCTGTAGTCATCCGCTTTCCGATCCGCCCGCTAGCCGTGAGGCGTCCTCCCTCCCGCTAGAGAGCAGGTCTCCTTAACTACGCCGCCTGGACGGGATGCGGTACACTTCTCCTTCTTCCATGCTGGTCCCCACCGACGCTCTCCCCGTCCCCGCCGCTCCGCGGTTCCCCGGGTCCACTCCTTCGTGCATCTCGTCCGACGTCTCCTTACCTCCAGGCTTTTCTGGCTGGTACGTCCGTCCGGATCTCAGCGGCATACAGCCGCACTCTTCTACTTTGTTTGTCGAAAAAATCCCTAACCCATCGACTGGTTTCTCAGACTGGCTAGCTAATGCTCAGGAAGATTGCACACACCACTCCAGTATAGCGAGAAAACAAACAAAGAAGCAGGATAGCAAGTGAAGCTAGCGGGCTATGTACAAGATGCAAACTACCTAGCTCAAGGCTACTCCTGCTACCACGCTTGGCCATGACCCTGTTCCTACACAAGCACACAAGCAAACACACTTCAACCAACATGCATTCAATCTGACGCGTACATCTCAGCCCACCATATGTACAAGCGAATCCCAACCGTCCCCGTCGTGTCAATCGGGGGCCTCCTGTGCGACTCTGCTATGCTTCCTCCAAACTGCCGAAACCCTCGTCACCCCACCCATCACTGTACAGGCGGTTCGCCTGCATGATTGGGTCTCCCCGCTCGCCTTGCCCTCGCCCTTCCGCCAGCTACACATCCAGCTGGCTCTCGCACGGGAAGACTGTATTCTCTGCTCCGCTATTTCTTGCTCCTCTATACTCCACTTCTTCCGGTTACATAAGATATGAAACTCCTCTTCGTATCTTATGTGACACGGTTCCGGTTGACAGTTTTACCACGCGGTCACGCATCACGTCCTGTCCTCCCAGGACGTCACCTTTGACGAGTCGGTCTGCTTCTACTGTGTTTTCCCCCTCGCGGCGTCTCCTGTCCCCCCGCCGCCCCTCACGTCCTGCTCCCTCAGGTGTGTCTCAGGTAGCACCACCCCCCTTGGTTGAGCCTTTGGAGGTCTCATCTGGCCCTGCTGAGGGAGGTGACCCTGCTGTTGGCGACACTTCAGCCTCTCGCCACACCCCGCGCTTGGAGACTGTCAACATATATTTTATATGTGTTGTTTAGTTTAGCCTAGGTGTTACATTCACATTTCCTAGGGTTTGCATAGATCTCCTTGTACCTTGATTCCTTGGTCAATTCTTACGCTCGTTAGTTCTTGACATGGTATAGAGCTAAGCGATCCGATGGGCCCACCGCCCCATGACCCGACCTAGCTCGTAGCGCCCTAAGGCCCGAAGCGCCCCCGTAGCCCCGTAGCCCGTGCGTCACCCATTTTCTCCCCTTCGCGTCACCCGTTTAGGCCGTCGCGTCACCCGTTTCTGCCCCGCGCGTCACCCGTTTCTGCCCCGCGCGTCACCCGTTTCTGCCTCGCGCGTCAGTTTTTTGTGCCCCGAGCGATCTGCCCACCAGCCCGCTAGCGCCCGTCAGACCCGCGCGCGCAGCCCTAGACGCACGCGCAGCCGCGTGCGCGTTAGTCACGACGGTTCGCGAGTAGAGGAGGAGTCCGCTACCCGCGCCCGTCGCCTCACCCGTTGCTTTTTCATGCTGAAATCACGGCCTCATCTGGAACCCGCCGCCACACGTGCTGAAACGTCGCCTCTTCACCAGTTAGAAGTCGCCCCACGTGTCGCCCGCTACCTTACCCGCCGTTCCACGAGTTAGCACCCTCCTCACGCCCTGAAACCGCCGCCCCTACCAGTTCGCACCCTCCCAATGCCCTGAAACCCGCCTCCCCACCGGTTAGAAAGCGTCCTTAGTCGTCGCCCACTACCTTACCTGCCACCCCAACCGTTAACACCCTCCCCACGCCCTGAAACCGCCGCCCCTACCAGTTATCACCCTCCCCATGACCTGAAACCGCCGCCCCACCTGGTACCCGCCACCCCACCTATTGCCCCACCCGTTGCCCCACCTGGAAAGCCTAACCTGCCACCCTACCTGTCACCTGCACCCTGGAACAGCCCCCAACCGCGCTCAACCGCATTCAAACGCACAGAACCGCACTCAACCGCATTCAACCGCACAAAACCGCACTCAACCGCATCCAACCACACAGAACCGCACTCAACCGTTTTAGACCGCCCAGTCAGTACCCCTCCGCGCTAGTTGTTCCTACGTACCCCACTATGTCTACCTCGCAAATTCTCACGTTTGATCCGGAGGGCCGTCCGGTCGATTTTCCAGGATGGCTTCGCAAGCTTAAGCTGTACCTAGGGTCTAGGATCGAGAATGACGTGTGCCTGCTGGAGCACGCCACCGGCAAGCTCGTTGCCCCGAAGGACCCCGACCCCCTAGGTGCTTCCCCGTCGGAGGTGGCTGAGGCTCGCTTTGAGAAGGCGCAGTTGGCGGCTAGTAGCTGGGCGGCGCGGGACGATGCTACCGTGCTCGCCATCACCGACCTCCTGCCACTGTCTGAGCAGCATCACTTCGAACAGGAGGTGACGGCCAAGGGCCTTTTCGACGTGGTAGTCAAATGGTACTCCACCCCGACTACTGCGTCCCTCGGCCGTCTTGTGCTGCCCTTCCTTTTCCCCGACCTTCCCTCGTTTCCGCGTGTTGCTGACCTCATTCTGCACTTGCGCTCGCTTGATGCCCAGCTCCGCTCTGCTGCCCCTGACCCCGACCTGCTTACCACCAACCCCCCCGCGATGTGGATGACACTGTACCTCCTTTCCACCCGCCTCCCTGTCCGCTTTGCCACTGCCCCTGACCACTTCCTCACTGTCAACCCCATGTCCCTCACTATTGACCCCGTGCCCCTTCGTTCCTTGCCTCTTCTGTCGACTCGGCCTCTGTTGCCACTGCATCAGAGGTTGCAGCTGTTGCTTTTGGCAACAAAGGGGGCAAGAAGAGCGGTAAGAAGGGAGGAGGTGGTGGCAGTGGTGGGGGTGGCGGAGGGGGCAGCGGTGGAGGTGGTGGAGGGAGCGGTGGTGGAGGTGGTGGAGGGGGCGGTGGTGGGGGGGGCGGCGGGAGTGGTGGTGGCGGCGACGGAGGGGGTGGGAGTGGTGGTGGAGGTGGAGGTGGAGGCAGTGGAGGAGGAGGTAGTGGCGCCCCCTAGGAGCAGCACCCCCCAGCAGCAGCAGCAGCAGCAGCAGCAGCAGCAGCAGCAGCAGCAGCAGCAGCAGCAGCAGCAGCAGCAGCAGCAGCAGCAGCAGCAGCAGCAGCAGCAGCAGCAGCAGCAGCAGCAGCAGCAGCAGCAGCAGCAGCAGCAGCAGCAGCAGCAGCAGCAGCAGCAGCAACAGCCACAGCAGCAGTGGCAGCAGCAGTTCCAGGGCCAGCGCCAGCAGACATAGCAGCAGCAGTGGGGGCCGCCTGGACCAGGGAGCTCTGTCAGCAGCAGCGACCCACCCAGCTGGATCTCACGTGGCCCGGTTCAGCACCCCCCCTGCCAGTACTGGGTGCAAACTGGGCCGCGCAGAGACGGCATCTGTGGCCGCCCCCTCCCTGCGGGTCAGTGCTTTGCGCCGCTTACTGACCGCTACCGCGCCCAGTTTGGCCCCACCCGCTCTACCCCAGACTGGGCCTCACTTGTCCGCACTGTTGGCACACAATTGTATCGCATGTCTGCCGCAGAGTTAGATCATGCTGTACGATCTGTTTCTGTGATGTATGCTGATGACTCTAGTGTTGATCATTCTTGCTATTACTCCTGTTTGTCTAGTTTGTAGAGGTTGCTAGTGCTGTACCAGCTAGAGTAGCTTGCACTGGCTCGACCACCCAGGCTGCGTCCCTTTTGTTCACGCTCGACTCTGGGGCGTCCAGCTGTTTCTTTCGTGACCCCACCGACCTCATGCCGCTACACACCCCGGTCACTGTCGCCTTGGCTGACCCCTCAGTAGGAGCGGAGGTTGCCCACAGCACCACCACTCTCCCGTGTCCGGCGGCTCCCTCTGGGGTCCTTACAGGTTACTACACTCCCTCGTTCTCCGGGAACTTGGTGGGTGTCAGCCACCTCCACGACCTCGGAGTAGTCACCACTTTTCCTTTACACGAGCCTGTTGCCTCCTGCACAGACGGCGTCACTGGGGCCCCTCTGGCTACTTTCCCTAAGGAGCCGGGCTCTGGTCTTTACTCACTACACACTGGGTCCCGCCACACTGGGTCAGGTCAGGTCAGGTCAGGTAGCTGCTGTGTTGTGCGACTGTCGGTCACTCACCCACCCGTCGGTCCTCTGGCACCACCGTTTAGGTCACTCGTCATTCCCACGTCTTAGTAGGATGGCACGTCACCGTCTGGTCTCAGGTCTCCCAGAGTCGCTTGCACCACTTCCCCGCTCGCCTGCGCCGCCGTGCACTCCTTGCGTCGAGGGTCGGCAGCGCGCTGCCCCTCACTACTCCTCGTTCCCCCCCACCACGGCTCCCAGCCAGACCCTGCACTTGGACGTCTGGGGCCCCTCCCCGGTCCGTGGTCCACGTCAGGAGCGTTACATCCTGATCGTGGTGGACGAATACTCCCGCTACACCACGGTTTTCCCCTTGCGACGGAAGGCCGACGTGCCTACCGTCCTTGAGCCGTGGCTCCTAGCGAGAGGTGGCGCCCAGGGTTTTTGTGGGCTTCGCCTACACTCAAACCGTGGTGGTGAGTTTTCTTCCACTCGCCTAGAGACGTACTGTCACGGTCGGGGATCTTCCAGTCTTACACGCTACCAGCCTGGCAGCAGCAGAACGGGGTAGCCGAGCGACGCATCGGCCTGGTCATGGAGGTTGCCCGGACCTCCATGTGCCATGCTGGTGCCCCCCAGTTCTTGTGGCCTCTGGCAGTCCGCTACCCCGCGCACCACCTGAACCTGTGGCCTAGTGACGCACGGCCACAAGTGACGCCAGTCTCCCTTTGGACAGGTTCTCCGGACGTAGCAGCTGACTTCCATGTTTGGGGTTCTCTGGCTCACGTTTGCGCCCCTGGCGCGAAAAAGTTGTCTTCGCGCACCCGTGCCTGCGTCTTTCTTGGCTTCCCTTTGGACGCCTCTGGCTGGGTGTTCTACGACCTGGTCACCTACGAGTTCTGCGCTTCTCAGGACGTCACATTCAACGAGTCTGTCTGTTACTACAGGAGTCGCCCCCACCGAGGTACTGAGGTCTTTTCCCCCCCGCTGTTCCTCACCCTTGAGCCCCCCCAAGTCGCCCCGGTAGCCCCCCCCCCCCCCCCCCCTTTCGCGTCCTGCCCCGTCAGGTGTGTCGCACGTCACCCCGCAGTCGTCCCCCCCGCAGCGTCCAGCCCCTGTCGTGTCTGGGGGTGCGTGAAATGCAGTTGCGGAGGGTGAGGGTACTGGGGCTGCAAGAGCTGGTGGTGTCGGCTCTGGGGTTGCAGGGGGTGTGGGCGTGGAGGTCACTCCCGTAGAGGACACGGCAGCCTCGACTCGGCGGCCTCGCCCCGCGTCACCCCCTGGCTTCCCGTCCGTCCCGCAGTTCCCTCCTCGTTCTTCTCCGCGGCCGGTTGCTGCGGAGCCTGGAGGTTTTCCTGCGGGAGGTCTTGGAGGCCCCGGGGGTGTCGCTGGTGGAAGTGCTGGTACTGGGGTTTCTGGAGCTGGAGGCACTGGCACTGTGGCGCCTACACCGCACACTGTACGTTTCCTGACCCGTGAGCAGCGTCTCCTCCGGTTGGAGAGGGAGGAGCATGAGCGTTTTGAGAGTGCATAGCAGCAGCAGCAGCAGCAGGAGCAGTCTCGGTCGCAACAGCAGGAGACAGTAGAGGAGGAGTCACAGCAGCAGCAGGAGAGAGCAGAGGAGGGGCCACGACTGCAGCAGCAGGTGCAGTTGCAGCCGCAGCAGGAGAGAGTAGAGGAGTCACGAGTGCAGCAGCGGGTGCAGTTGCAGTCGCAGCAGGAGAGAGTAGAGGAGGAGTCACGGCCACACCAGGAGAGGGTAGAGCAGGAGCCCTGCCCGCAGCAGTAGGTGCAGTTACAGACGCAGTCTGGATCACCACCAGTGTTCAAGGCGCGCTATGTGGCGAGAGGCTTCAGGCAGCGAGAGGGGGTAGACTTCTTCCAGACCTTCGCTCCCACCCCGAAGATGACTACTCTTTGGGTGTTGCTACATATTGCAGCCCAGCGCGACTACGAGTTGCACACCTTGAACTTTTCGACTGCGTTTCTTCAGGGGAGCCTGCACGAGCATATCTGGCTGCGTCGCCCGCCTGGCTTCACTGGCTCTTTCCCACCTGGGACCCAATGGCAGCTGCGTCGACCAGTCTACGGCCTGCGCCAGGCTCCACGTGAGTGGCACCACACACTTCGCTCGACCCTTGCAGCACTTGACTTCTTTTCGTCGTCTGCCGACCCGTCACTGTTCGTCCGCCGTGGCTCGACCCAGTTCTTTGTTCCGGTCTACGTTGACGACCTGGTCTTTGCCACTCCCGACCGACGCGCGCTGGCCTCCGTGAAGGAGGAACTGCAGAGGAGACACACTTTCACTGACCTTGGTGAGCTGCAGCACTACCTTGGCCTGCGGATCACCAGAGACAAGGCAGCTCGCACCATTACGCTGACTCAGCCGCATATGGTCGAGCAGATCCTCACGCGGTTTCGCTTCCCGTTCTCCAAGGTACAGCTCACCCCTCTTGGTGGGGATCATGGGCTCACGGCTCCACCTTTGGACAAGTCATTTTATTCCCATTGGTCCATATCCTGAGCTGGTGGGTTGTCTCATGTACCTGATGACCTGTACTCGCCCAGACCTAGCTTACCCTCTTAGCGTCCTTGCGCGTTTTGTTGCGCCAAGGAGACACCGCCCGTCTCACTGTTACGCTGCTAAGAGGGTTGCGAAGTATGTGGCGAGTACATCAGGCATGGGACTTGTCCTTGGAGGGAAGCAGCCAGTTACACTCACAGGTTTCTCAGACTCGTCGTGGGCCGACGACGCGGAGACACGTCGGTCTACACAGGGGTACTTCTTTAGCCTCGGGACAGGAGCTGTTTCGTGGCGGTCGACTCGGGCGTCGTCCGTCTCCGGTTTCAGCTGTGAGGCTGAGGTGTACGCTGCGGCCATGGCCGCTCTGGAGGTTCGCTCGCTGTCTTTCCTCCTCACCGACCTTGGTGAGCGTCCTCGCTCCCCCCCAGTCTTGTTCGCCGACAACAGGTCTGCTGTCCTGTTGTGTGAGGAGCCCCGACTGGTTGGGAAGGCGAAGCACATCCAGCTTCGTTACTTCCTTCTGCGTGAGTTGCAGCAGCGTGGCCAGGCACTAGTCCGACGTGTGGTCTATGAGGCCAACACTGCATATATCTTCACCAAGGCGTTGCCGCCTTGTGACCACCAGCGTTTCTGCACCCAGCTTGGCCTTGTGCCTGCCCGTCCTCACTTGCTTACGTAGAGATGCTTTGTCCTGCTTGTCTTGTACTCTTGCATCTCTTTATATTTGCTATATATTTGCATGTAGACTGGCCTTCTGGAGTGTGTGGTGACTTTGAGCTCCACCCTGAGATTTGTCTTGTTCTTGTGGACTGGTCTTGTGACCCTTGCTTGTTCTTGTTGACTGGTCATGTGACCCTTGCTTGCTCTCAGAGTGTGTGTCCTTGAGACCCACCCTGAGATTTGTGTTGCTTTCCACAGAACTACCGTCACCTAGACTATGGGGGTGTGTCAACATATATTTTATATGTGTTGTTTAGTTTAGCCTAGGTGTTACAGAGACCCCTCCTAGCTTCCCGCCTCGACCGTCTTCGCCACCTCTGCAGCCTGTCGCGGTGGACTCTGGTGCTGCTGGGGGTGGTGGCGCCCGAGGCGTGGACTCTGAGGGTGCTGACCCTGGAGGTGCTTGTCAAGCTATATTTGTTATAGCTTCTAGTTATTAGTCTAGGTGTACTTTCTCCTTCCTAGGGTTAGGGTTAAGTTTCACATAAACTTGTTGTACTTTCCAATCTAGTCATTCATTCTCTTATCTTCATATGGTATAGTGCGAGGTTTACCCTAGCTAGGGTTTCCCGTAGCGTTTTTCACTCTATAGATTAAGGGCCCACCGAAATCGCTAGCGCGCGCCCCGTACTAGCATGCACCCTGTCCTAAAGCGCGCCTCGTAGCTCATCGCACGTCGCCCGTAGCATGCCCGTCGTCAGTAGCCACCCCTTCGCCCGTAATATTTCCCCTCCCGTCGCCCGTCCGTTTCCCGCGCGCGCCCCACCCGTCGCCTGTCGGACGACCGTAGGATGCGAGCCCCGCGGCCCCTTTTTTTTGTTAGCCGGCCCCGCGGCCTGACGGTAGTGAGCCACGCGGCCCGTGATCGACGGCCCCGTGGCCTGCGCTAGCTGGCCCCGTGGCCCCCACGCGTTCCCCCCTCCTCCCCACCCCGCTCATTTCCTCCC